AAAAAAAAAAGGAGCAAGAGCCTCCATTATAGAGTGGACTAGCCGAGCACCCAAGCTGGTGACCACTATACTTCTTCGGTGCAAATTTCCCTAATTCCCCAAAGAAAAAAACTCTTTATTAAGATCCCATGAGTCTTGAAGCTCAGATCCGATCCGCCAAGCATAACTTGTACCTTCTACTTATCCACGTTAATTTGCACCATTAGGCATAAACTACAACTTGTGGTTGAAAACGATTATTTGTTACGATTAAAATCTTATTCTTTTAAAACAACAATACTATACTATACTATTTTTTTGGTCAAAAAAACAACAATACTAGACATCAATTTTTCATTAAACTTTTTGTATCAAATCAACATTGATTGTTGAATTAATGGATTGTACTAATTCGTAATGAACGTCCAATATTTATGATTGAATTACATTGTCTACACTATTAAGAAATAGACAGAAAGGTTCTCTTTTTTTTATCAGTAGTTATTAATAGTTAGATTAATACTAATTTAATGTATTAAATTTTTTAGAAATAAAAAAATATATAAACTCGTTTAACTTTCATTTGTAATTTCTCAATTAAAACTTCTCACTCTTTCATGTTTGTCTTCCGTAATCCTCTTTTATTCGAAATCAACTCTTCTTTAATGATTTTTCTCTCTTCTATGACCAATACTTTCTTTAAGATACATTACACACATTAATTTGCAGAAACATCACGTGTGCCACCTAAATTAGTTTAGGGTGGGATTATATCTTCTTACTTAATATTATTAAGTTCACCCTATCTATACCCACCTTATTAATGACTAAGTTCATCTCATTTGTACCCATGAAATTAAACTATCAAATATATATCAAAGAAATCAAAAAAAAATAATAATAATTGAAGCGAAATTTCAATGTTCCGAGATGATTTAGAATATTTCTAGGTGTTTTGAGATATTTTGACATTTTTTTACAATGTTTTCGAAAAATTTTGAAATGTTTTAAGATATTTTAGTATATTTTGACTAATATTTTAAAAATAAATTTAAATTTTTTTATTTATTTTTATTCTGATTCTCAAATATATTCATATTGAAATAATATATCGAAATAATATTTTGATTATTGCTTATATAATAAAATAAAATAAAATAAAATAAATTTAGTTTTTAATTAGTGAATATAGACAAGGTGAATTTAGTAACCGATGNTGGCGAATTAAGGGCTAAAGCTTTAGTTACAAGATCAACAAAAAAAGGGGCAACAACAGGAACGACAAAGGAAATAGTAGGGAGCCTAGCTGTAACAGAGATATCTCAAGGAGTAGGGGCGTCACCTTCACCCTCCGTTCCTTCCTCAGTAGGGACGTCGAAGTTGAAGTTCAGATCAGGATAAGTCTCCTCAGCTTTGTCCAGGAAAGCAAGCCACCCAGAGGCCCACTTGGTAGTAACGTCATCCCTTAGCTGAGTAATTGCCTTGTCTTTCTTGGTTGCGACAGCTTTTAGCTCTTCAAGCTCACTACAGAGGGTACCATTCACCTCGGACAGAATGACATACTCCTTTCTCAGGCTCTCAAATGAGGTCTGGGCAGCAAAAGCTTCTTGGCTGGCATTGACCCAGGCATCGGTTTTAAGTTCCAGCTCCTCCCTAGCCATTCTTAGCTCATCCTTGGCTTTATTTTCTCCTTCCTTAACCTTATCTTTTGCAGCCTATAAGCCCTTGAAGGTAGAAGCCTGCTCTCCATTTTCTCTGGAAGGTCTTGCACTCGAGCTCGGAGGTCATTTTTGTCAAAAGACAATTTGGCGACCTTAATCCCATATGCTTTTATAGCTTTGACAGAGTTCTCCAAAGATTAGATCCCACTCATCAAGCTCTTCACATGGATAGCCGAATGAGGACAGAAAGGAAAACAAGTGAAGGTTAGCATGAAGTTACAACATAAGGATTAATGAGAGAGCAGTGAGTCGTTTCCCCTCGGCACAAAGACATTTAAAGCTTTCGGTACGTTGGTCTTGAAAGTGGAGAACGTGTGAGAGAATCAAGGAGGACATGATTGCATAAAATCGTCAAAAAGAAACCCTCTGGATGCGTAAATCGAGGTTGTCATGTGGCCCAGACCAGTCTTAAGTGTAGCTCAACCCTTGCCCAAGCTAGCTTGACCAAGAGCTGGGGGGCAACTGATGATACCTAGAATAATTTTCAAGTATGAACTCGGGCGTGGAGTTCAGACAAGGAGGTTAAGCAAGACATGTAGAGCTCAGAGGACCAGAGCTAGAGCTCCCCGCAGAGGAGGCAATAGCGGAAATAATAAGGGAACAACTGGTTGTTAACAAGAACCCTACAGGCGGCAAAGAGTCATATTCAAGGCACAAAACCTTCAACTAATCAAGATATTCTCCAAAAATCAAGGAGGGATCCACGGAAGAAAGGCTAAGATCTCGGCAGAGATCCCATAGAACAAGGAGCAGCTCTATAAATAATTTATAACTCCTCCATTGCAAAAAGAAGAAAAAAGAAGAGAGAAAAACTTTAATTGTGCACGCATTATTCTGCAAGTCTCTCTAATTATCAATAAAAAAAAAAAAAAAGGAGCAAGAGCCTCCATTATAGAGTGGACTAGCCGAGCACCCAAGCTGGTGACCACTATACTTCTTCGGTGCAAATTTCCCTAATTCCCCAAAGAAAAAAACTCTTTATTAAGATCCCATGAGTCTTGAAGCTCAGATCCGATCCGCCAAGCATAACTTGTACCTTCTACTTATCCACGTTAATTTGTACCATTAGGCATAAACTACAACTTGTGGTTGAAAACGATTATTTGTTACGATTAAAATCTTATTCTTTTAAAACAACAATACTATACTATACTATTTTTTTGGTCAAAAAAACAACAATACTAGACATCAATTTTTCATTAAACTTTTTGTATCAAATCAACATTGATTGTTGAATTAATGGATTGTACTAATTCGTAATGAACGTCCAATATTTATGATTGAATTACATTGTCTACACTATTAAGAAATAGACAGAAAGGTTCTCTTTTTTTTATCAGTAGTTATTAATAGTTAGATTAATACTAATTTAATGTATTAAATTTTTTAGAAATAAAAAAATATATAAACTCGTTTAACTTTCATTTGTAATTTCTCAATTAAAACTTCTCACTCTTTCATGTTTGTCTTCCGTAATCCTCTCTTATTCGAAATCAACTCTTCTTTAATGATTTTTCTCTCTTCTATGACCAATACTTTCTTTAAGATACATTACACACATTAATTTGCAGAAACATCACGTGTGCCACCTAAATTAGTTTAGGGTGGGATTATATCTTCTTACTTAATATTATTAAGTTCACCCTATCTATACCCACCTTATTAATGACTAAGTTCATCTCATTTGTACCCATGAAATTAAACTATCAAATATATATCAAAGAAATCAAAAAAAAATAATAATAATTGAAGCGAAATTTCAATGTTCCGAGATGATTTAGAATATTTCTAGGTGTTTTGAGATATTTTGACATTTTTTTACAATGTTTTCGAAAAATTTTGAAATGTTTTAAGATATTTTAGTATATTTTGACTAATATTTTAAAAATAAATTTAAATTTTTTTATTTATTTTTATTCTGATTCTCAAATATATTCATATTGAAATAATATATCGAAATAATATTTTGATTATTGCTTATATAATAAAATAAAATAAAATAAAATAAATTTAGTTTTTAATTAGTGAATATAGACAAGGTGAATTTAGTAACCGATGGAGTGAATATATATAGAGTGAATTTAGTAATTTAAAATAAGATGATTAAATGAAGTGACAGAAAAAATTTAAAGGGTGAGAATAGTCCAATTCATTAATTTAATGTACAAATTAGGTGCACAAAGTTTTACTTTATTCAAATGTAATAAAAAAAAGGAATGGAAGATCCATGATTTGATTTACCGCCATAATAGCAAACCCAACCATAGAATGCAATTGAACGACCTCGTTCAATGCACAAGACAAACCATTACTATCTCGTCCAAACGACGCCGGCTTCAATCCGTAGTTTTCCCTGAAGCAAAATTGACCTTCGGACACGGGTATTTCGCTGGTTTTCGTCCCGCAGAAATTCTTCAAAAAGATTACGAGAAAGAGAACTTCGAGAGATGGCATCACCAGTAATTTCGATCAAATTATGGTATTGTTTTAAAATCCTCTTCTCCTATAAATATAAAAACCTCATGAAATTAAATTTGTTCCTCCTTTCTTGCGCTCTCATTCTTACTGAGTTCTCATTCTCTTTTGCGCTCTCATTCTCTAGTCGCATCTCGCTTCTATCCATCGTTCTTTTTATTTCTGCCGAAGAATTTTTTATGTTCTTCATAATATCTCGATTCTAAATCTCCCTACTTTGAGGAATTTCCCTTTTGGAATCGTTCTACATTGATCATACACTCGTATATTGTGTACTTATTTTGTTAGTATTCAAAACCCTAACCCTGGTTTTCATTCTTCGAAGAGCTCTTTGAATTGGCAGAATCTGATTTCTTACTATAGTTGGCTTCTCGACTTAGCTTTCTCGATCCTATGAACAATCACCTACTCAAGACATGTAAGTTTGTCACCCCCTTCTTTTTTTTTCTCTTTGATTTATTTCCATTGATTTGTGATGGTGTTTACTATGCCAATTGAACAGAATGAATGAATCAGGGAAATTGATCAGAATCAAGGTGTTCAAGGGTCAGGGGATTGGGATGAGTTGCACAATGAAAATATAGTGGTTCACCAAGCTTGAGAGCTCGGCTAATCTACTCTCGAATGGAGTTTCTTGCTCCTTGAATCTGTATTCACCACCGTAATAAATTACAGAGTGTTTTATATATATTTTTCTTCGTCCCCCTTTCGTTGGAGGCCCTGTTCAATATTTATTGTCCGGTTCTTGTTTCTAAGGGATCTTCAGTGAGATCGTAGCCCTTATCTGCGAGATTTCCCTTGATTTTTGGAGGAAATCTCGGGTGGTTTAGAGTTTCACGCTATAATTATTGTCCTCTTGCTGTTTTGTGGATGCCTCTTGTTAGCCAGCTATTCTCTTCTCGCCTCTTCTGCTCTTTCATCCAAGAGAAGCTCGAGACCTAGGTCTCTGAACTCTGGACTCCTTATCTGACCACCTTGTCTGACCTTACTTCCCGAGCTCATACTTAGTTAAAATTCTTTTCATGTATCATCAATTGCCCCCTAGCCCTTGGTTCAAGCAAGCTTGGGCAAGGGCTAAACTTAGATTGAGTCGTGGTAGTCCTCCACCTAGTGACCTCGATATACGTGCGAACAAGTTTTTGACAATTACAAGTAATCACTTTTTCCCAAGTTTCTAATGCACGTTCCCCACTTCGATGCCCCTTATACCGTTAGTTTTAAATGCTTCTGGATCAACGGCTCCCATTTCACTCTTCAAGTTCTCTCTAGCTTTTTCCTTTTTACTTTTTTGCGATTTCAACTTCCCAAGTTTGCCGTCGTTCTTAGGGGCTTCAAAGCGAGGTGATTTCCCCCTGATTTGATCTGAAGGCTTAACGAGGCTTGCTCTCTGGCTTTGTTTTGAGCTTTAATCCATCGTTCGTTATTTCTTAGGTACGTCTTTCGTCTCTTTCCCATTTTCTCATTCTGGATCCCTCAAATCTGAGGTGGTTATTGCATTTCTAGACTTTTCGGTTCTGCTATTTTAGGAGTCAAGATCGCTCCCTGTCTTGGCTCCCTCTCTTCCTGGTCCTTACTTTACGGCTATGATTTTTGTCATTGGTCGTTGGTGTCTTGCCCCCTTGACCCTCAGAGAGTGTTTCTATGAGGTTCCCTTCTTTATAGGTCCTTTAAACTTCCTTACTCTTGCCCAGTTATGTCTACCTCATCTGAAGCCACAAGTTCGTCTATTTTCCTTATGAGGATCAAGTCTCCTGAAGCATAGGATTCTGATTTGGGAGACGTGGGAGAGGAGATTGATAGCTTTCCTGGTGTTGATTCTGTCGACATCAAGGAAAATGTTGAGGAGCCTCCCTCTTCGTTTTCCCCAATGCCTAAAAACCCTCATAAGGGTAAAGCCAAGGTGAGCAGCGTAGAGATTTTTGGTAGTGGCAAGGGTGAGTGCGGGTGCGGGTGCAATCTCCAGAGTTGCAAAGCTCATGGGCTTCAGCGATATCACTCCTTCCTATATGAAGGTCCTGGCTGCCCGCTTTGGTTTCCCCCTGTATATACAGTACTGGTGCCCCGATATGTATACTTGATATGACTTTTTAGTCCCTAAGAAAACCTTCTTTTTCATGGCCACTTTTGATTATGACCTCCACTTTCCAATTCATCCTTTCATTAAGAGCGTTCTGCAACATTTTAATGTCTGCCCTGCTCACCTCTCTCCTAACTTCTGGGGCATATTGGTGGGTCTCCTCATTTTCTTCAAGAAAAATCAGCTAGGGGTTCCCTTTGTTCCCTTGCTTATGAAGTTTTTCAACGGTAAGTATACCCCTTGTGACGGTTTTTTGTACATCTCCACGCGAGTGAAAACTAAGGTTATCATCTCCGACCTCCCGAGCTCCCACAAGGAATGAAATTTTTTTTTCTTTTTTGTGGGGGGCAGACTATGGGTATATAACTCTACAAATGTTACAGACATTTTTCCAGTTCCTAGGAATTGGTCTGCCTCTGACAACCTGGGTAAGTTTTCGCCTGAGCAAACTAGGATCAATTCTGACTACCTGCCCTACTTACTCCCCCCCTAGTTTGTTTTTTTTTTTTTAGGTATTCGACCTGAACTTGGCATTGTTGATAAGCGAGTTTTATAGAGCTTGGTGGATTGCGACTTTAGAGAAATACTCAGAGCTCATCAAGCCTCAGGTTCTAGTAAAGCTCAGATTCGGTCTTCTTGAGGTGAGGATCGAGACCCCTATTCCCATCTATGTTGCCAACGCTGAGAGGGTATCAGGTAACGCCTTTTTCAGCCCGTTGCTGGCTTTTGGCTTTCCCTCCTTATTTTTTCCTTTTAAATTGGCTCATTTTGTGCTCCCAGGTTCCCCTTCAATGAAGCCTACTCAGGAAGCACTCCAAGCCAAGGTTGCTCTTCTAAAGAAAAATAGGAGCGAAAGCAAACGCAGAGCTGACGTTGGTTTTGCTGGCGACCTCACTCCTCAAGCCAAGGTACCAAGGTTGGGGTTATCCCCTGTGTCTCCAGCTTCTTTTCAAGTGGCTCTTACTCCTCCATCAAGCTTTCTGTAGGCTGTGGAGACCTCTTCCCTTCAAAAGATCCCACTTGCGATCAAGAAGATTTATGAGCAAGATCCGACCTCTCCTACTTCTGTCGAGGTCGAAAAGGCTTTGGAGACGATCTCTCATGTTCAATCCGCTCTTACCTCTTCGGGGCCCTCAGAGAAATTTTTGCAGCTGTCTCAAACGAGCTCTAAGGCTGAGAAAGGGAAGTATATCAAAGAAGAAAAAGATGATGATTCTTTTTTTGACAATGTTCAGCTTATTATCGGTGCCCTTGACTCCATCATTTCTTCTACCGACGTTCGGNGACCACCTTGTCTGACCTTACTTCCCGAGCTCATACTTAGTTAAAATTCTTTTCATGTATCATCAATTGCCCCCTAGCCCTTGGTTCAAGCAAGCTTGGGCAAGGGCTAAACTTAGATTGAGTCGTGGTAGTCCTCCACCTAGTGACCTCGATATACGTGCGAACAAGTTTTTGACAATTACAAGTAATCACTTTTTCCCAAGTTTCTAATGCACGTTCCCCACTTCGATGCCCCTTANCTGGTTGCATTTGTTTTCAGCTGGCCATTTATGTGAAGGGTTTGTTAAGTTGAATTCAAGATTTGGAGAGCTTTGGCCTTGAGCTGTATTTTGCCAATAATGACCTCTAAACCCAAATTCAAGACCTACAGGCATAGGTGGAAAAGCAAAAGCTTCTATCGTCAAAATTTTGGAGACGAACGAGGAAAGGATCACGGAGGACCTTAGGCATAAGACTGATGCCAGNGAACAATCACCTACTCAAGACATGTAAGTTTGTCACCCCCTTCTTTTTTTTTCTCTTTGATTTATTTCCATTGATTTGTGATGGTGTTTACTATGCCAATTGAACAGAATGAATGAATCAGGGAAATTGATCAGAATCAAGGTGTTCAAGGGTCAGGGGATTGGGATGAGTTGCACAATGAAAATATAGTGGTTCACCAAGCTTGAGAGCTCGGCTAATCTACTCTCGAATGGAGTTTCTTGCTCCTTGAATCTGTATTCACCACCGTAATAAATTACAGAGTGTTTTATATATATTTTTCTTCGTCCCCCTTTCGTTGGAGGCCCTGTTCAATATTTATTGTCCGGTTCTTGTTTCTAAGGGATCTTCAGTGAGATCGTAGCCCTTATCTGCGAGATTTCCCTTGATTTTTGGAGGAAATCTCGGGTGGTTTAGAGTTTCATGCTATAATTATTGTCCTCTTGCTGTTTTGTGGATGCCTCTTGTTAGCCAGCTATTCTCTTCTCGCCTCTTCTGCTCTTTCATCCAAGAGAAGCTCGAGACCTAGGTCTCTGAACTCTGGACTCCTTATCTGACCACCTTGTCTGACCTTACTTCCCGAGCTCATACTTAGTTAAAATTCTTTTCATGTATCATCAATTGCCCCCTAGCCCTTGGTTCAAGCAAGCTTGGGCAAGGGCTAAACTTAGATTGAGTCGTGGTAGTCCTCCACCTAGTGACCTCGATATACGTGCGAACAAGTTTTTGACAATTACAAGTAATCACTTTTTCCCACGTTTCTAATGCACGTTCCCCACTTCGATGCCCCTTATACCGTTAGTTTTAAATGCTTCTGGATCAACGGCTCCCATTTCACTCTTCAAGTTCTCTCTAGCTTTTTCCTTTTTACTTTTTTGCGATTTCAACTTCCCAAGTTTGCCGTCGTTCTTAGGGGCTTCAAAGAGAGGTGATTTCCCCCTGATTTGATCTGAAGGCTTAACGAGGCTTGCTCTCTGGCTTTGTTTTGAGCTTTAATCCATCGTTCGTTATTTCTTAGGTACGTCTTTCGTCTCTTTCCCATTTTCTCATTCTGGATCCCTCAAATCTGAGGTGGTTATTGCATTTCTAGACT